GATATTCAAAATTCGAACTGAAATTTATTGGATGAAAACTTTAGATTTAAATTAGCTTCAAATAACATTTCATTTCCCCATATTTTTTTGTTATGCTCAAGCGCAGCAGCTGAGATCTTCGATGAGGGCGCCGCACGATGACTCTTCAGCACAGTCTGTTAGTGGCGGCCTCATAGGAAATCTCAGTAGCTACGCTTGAGCATAACAAAAAAATATGGGGAAATGAAATGTTATTTGAAGCTAATTTAAATCTAAAGTTTTCATCCAATAAATTTCAGTTCGAATTTTGAATATCCTATATGTTTTAGAGACACTATAGCAGATGCACTTAGTCGTTAGTCCTCATACCATTTTGAAACATTTTCATTGAAAATTTGATCAAATATATTACTGACCATGAAAATATACTAAAATCCGGTTGATCAGCAAATTGATCAATCAAATTTGTTCATACTTTCATACCTAGAATCTCTTGTGTGCAATGACGAAAATCTCCGGTCTTTATCTCCTATCGTTCTCCGGTTATTAAGAAACCAATTGTACGCTCAGACTTTTTGGACGGGACACTTACTGCAGCGTTCCAACAACAGGGCTACTAAGTACCTGGCAGGTTAAGGTTTTGAGTCGAAAAGCAGCCCTTCACCCGGGGAGGGTAGCAAAGAGGTAAAAGCAGGGGGAAGGTACTCCAAAAATCAGAGAAAACTCTCCAAATTTTTTGAAAAATCAGAGAAAATTTGCTGCGGTTTATGGAAAACCGGGGGAGAGCCTCGTTGTCTCAAGAAGGTCAAGACACTTCGAAGATGTTGATTACGTTCAGCTAATGTAGTACTTGTACTTATCAGTGATATTATTTATGCCAGTAATACATCAGCTAGTCGTAATTTCATATGTAATACGACAGAAATTATTTTCCTGTAACTAAATAGGAAAATGAACCCAAATAAAACAGATAACAGGACAAAAACTGAAATCGTATTATATACTAACATAATGTTTACTTTTTATTTTCATCCTTTCATCAATTTCTCTCCTGGGACTCTGATTCAATACCTAGCTTTTCAAAACGGCGCTGGTGGCTCTGACAAGAGATACTTGATACGTCTCTTTATTGTAGATGGATTGATCCAAAAGGCAGATAACTTACTCAAGCTTTCTGTGAAAAATAGGTTTGTACTGGTTTCCGAAATGTGGTTTAAATTTTGCAAGCTCTTCCTTTTCGTAGAGGACAAGAAAACCAGCAAATGAATTTGTCTCATTATCGTATGAAACTTTACTAACAACACCGTTACAAACCTCGGATACGTAAACATACTTTGAATGAGTTGAATTTAAATGTAATTCACCCAGATATAATCGAACAAAGATATAATTATGCATCTCATTTAAAACATCAGCCGCTAATCGTTTTTGTGTAATTTATGTCCTTACATTCGTTTGAGTGACTGACATACATTGATTATACGGTTACATTCCCAACATTAACAAAATGATAGCTTTTCTCTGCTGAATGGATTTGTTTATCAGACTTTTTAATTTTACTTTTGAACAAATGAACTTTCTAGTCACTACAAGAGAGGACACGAATATGAATCATGTGTTCATCTCGCAAGAAGTCTCAAGAAAAGGAGAAAGCGCCTACGGTCTATATAAAAACTCCAGTGAAAAGGACATCTCGAGATCAAAAATAGAACTTGTGTTGTTTTTGTCACGTGAATTCTCGAAAAAAAAAGAAAAGAATCTTTAGTTTTCCCATAGGTTATGCGAGGAAATCTACTCGCAAGAGATTTAATGGTGATTCTCCGGAGGAAAAAATACATCATTTGTGTTTCTCTGGATAACACGGAAGGAATTAGCACTGGATATCACGAAAATAAAATTCTCAGGTGTTTATGAAAGAACTAGAAAAATCTCTTTTTCCTTCACGTGTTTTGGAAGAATCTCGCAAGGTTTTGTTTTTTCTTGTATGTTATCGCAAAGCTTACGAGATTCTTTTTCAGTGGGTATAACTGTCATTCATCAGAAGTGCGTCAGTGATAAAAAGAATAAAGAAAATAACACACTACACTTAGCGAGGGTCAAACTCGTAATAATCTTTCATTACGCTGTCCGGATATCTTAACCATTGGATGATACGTGCTTATTCTTCTTATATTATTAAAGCAATTTATTTTATTCAGATAGGAATGAAAATTACATTGAGAACTAAAATATTGCCCGATTAGCTAATGAATACATACCAGCAGAATAATAATTTTTATATTTTAAAAAAAGACTTCTACGAATACGACTCACACAATCACAAATCATCAAAATAAATGACCGTTATTGTTATATCATGCACTAGAGTCGTGCCATAACGAGAAGATCGTAGTCAAGGTTATTGCGCAAGAATATTCAAGGTTATTGCATCAGCCTTAGTCAACGAGATAGAACAGTTCTAAAATGGTGCTAGAACCTAGAATATCACAGTATTGCATAATCGTGGTATCGGACTTCGTTTCTTAAGATTATGCAACAACTTAGTATATATATGTGCGTTTTTGTGTAATAGAGTGTGTGTGCTATCTTTGTATAAAGTTTTCTCAAATAAACGTTAGATGAGAAAGATCTTAGTTCACCCGGGAACGTAACAGTTATGGTCATTTATTTTTAAAAGAGTTGCGAAACAACTTAATTATATCAGAATCGGAAAAACCGATTCATAAACTGCTTTCTGGTAGATAAAAATAACATAAAATTTTGTTGTACTACCTATAAATTTCGGGGAGCGCCCCTAGCCGATGGAAACAGATATCTAGTCCGAACAAGCTGAGTCTCTTGTCATGAATAAATAGATAACATATTAGTGGGTTTCTTGTATCGGACTCCACAAGCTTTTGAAAAATTTCCGTACAGCGCATGACGCTGCTGAATATAATCCATATAGTGTCGCAAAGGGCAACTACCGCCTGGACCGGAGGCACAATGTGGTAGGGGATTTGGTGCCGAATTTATCAGAACTCTGACGAACGATCCATTGTGAGTAACGGACACGCAGTTCAGACGTTCCAGCGCCACATGACCCAAAAAGGGAATGAGTTCACTTGTTCGCCACGCACGTTGGTAATTAATCTGATCAAGCGGAAACGTAGTATTGATATCGTTGACGTCCGCATAGCATGAATTATTGTAGAGGCCCAATGCCGTCAAGACAAATGGCGGCACCTCCCGATGGGTGAAACTAACGTAAAGATCTTGATCCATAGTTTTGGTATCCTCGAGAAGTTTGCTCGATGCCACGACCCAGGGCATACCGAGACTAGGTGATATGTCGGTCCCATAGCCCAACTCATAGTGGTACTTTATGTCAAAATAATATTCAAAAGAAAGCCATTCTTCCGGGTTAAAGATAGGACAAAAGAGCGATGACCCACGTATGACGGTTTCATATCCACATAACTCCTGCATTGCCAACACATCATTGGCCGAGAATTTAAACCCGGTGCCCATAGCGGCGAACCGAGCGATGATCGACCTGGTGTAATGTTTCAGCCAGCTATCCGCTTTTTTTGATCCTACTGTGGCGCTAAATCGAGGACAACTTTTGTACGGTGTCAGAGTATTGGCACCTTGTTTTTTACCTTCCGCAATTACGATCACTTCACCGATCATGTCCTTCCGGATACCACCATACAAACCGGCAAGGAGAGCATTAGCACTTTGTACCGTTCGATTCGCTTCGGAAGCCCAGACTTTGAAAGATGATGCATTCGTCTTTTTCGTAGGCAATAAGTGTGGATAACGATATGCGAGTCGGGTGCCTAAGTTGAAAGCCTCGAGACCTCCGGATACGGTCAGCTTTTCTATTTCTTCCTTGCTATTCGTGATGGGCGAGGTCCACGTAGCTAAGAAGGCCAAGTCCAAGGCACAAGTAAAGTTGACGTGTTTCGATGATTGCGCTTTCTTAAGACGTTGTAAGAACGGATACAGAGTAGTCTCATAATCAGAATCGCTGGCATAGATGGAAGCGTGACGCACAAGATAGGTGGTCTTGACAACTGTACAGCCGGGAGAAGGATCAGGGCTTAGTCCATTCGTGTTAGTTTCGAAATAAGGAGACACGGCCGTAAGATGCTGTAAAATCTTGAAGTTGTAGGCAGAGTACGTCGGACCGGCTGTGATAGTGTAAGGAGGATATAAATCAATGGCATAGTGGGTACTAGTTAGTAAGGAAAGTGCGATCAACAATAACAGAACCATGCTACGGGTAATATTTTACGAGAAAGAAGCAACAGTGATAGAAGTAGTTAACTGTGGTGACTGCGATCGGCCATGCATGGCGCACTTATTATGTTTAACTTACCGGGTATGTGTGTGGTAACAAAAACAATCTTTCGTTTTCTATTGTCTTATCCAAAGTGACTGCGTCACTGAGTACACTGTAAAAATAATGTGTCCTTTGACGGCACATTTTTTTATACATGGAATGGACACATTTCTTTCTATGTTGGAATGTGCCTATGCGTCTCTAGTTGTGACACAAAACGTGTCTATATTTAGGATACATTTCGTGTCGTAAATAGCGACGCATTGGCACATTACCCGTAGTATAAAATGTGTCCATTCCATGTATTGTTTGACGGCACATTTTAGGACGCATTATTTTTTACAGTGTATATAGTATGCTCACGAGGGAACTTTTTCACATGTCCAACTCGTTTCGACTTCATCTTTTGGCCATAAGTAGACCTCGATAAGGTATGAAAAACCTCAGAAGATTCACTTGACTGTCTCTCTCCCTTGACTCTTAAAGATCCGGTCTTATGGAAAACCATTTGAGAAACTCTAAAAAGGAACTAAAACCTTCCTTAATGAGGCTTGGTTGTAGCAAGGAGATTTCTGATTTTAGCGAGACATCTCCGAGCTCTACACGACCTTTCTTTGCTAAGTTACAGAATTTACAAGAAAAGTCAGTATATACTGCCTCATTTCTCTTTCAAAAGAAGAAAATTAAGATAACCTCAGAATGTGTTCCATTTTGTATACTTCTATCGAATAGTCTTATATTATTTAATTGTTAGAAATGCCATTAAGGGAGGTAATCTCCCCTGGATGTCCCTTCAAACACATCACATTTTTGTAGAATACAGAAACACATATGTCGAAAAATTATTGCCGAACGGTTCATGGATGACTGAGTTATAAAAGTAGTTTACTCATCAAATCAATTCTCAAAATAGGGAAGAGGTCCGTGGGTGAAATAGCAAACAGTATCGGAGGCAGCAAACTACAGTTTAATGGGTGCTTCAGAAAGAGTTGCCCTCTTGGTATTTTCTATTTTTCTCATGTTTCTTTGGAATCCGAAGGTTAGTATTTTTTTTAAAAGATGCGCCGCGAAATACTCTACAAAACCATACTTAAACTTTAGTTTTAGAACTTCAGTCAAGAAAACTACGCAACTATACGAAAACGAAAAAAATGAAAACTTTCCAAACTCAAAAACGATTTCTTGTGTTAACGTTTTGAAAGTAAGAAAAACTGAATTAGTCATTTTGTAGCCCTGACTTCGCTCTATCTTTCAGCTACACTTCAAATTTTTTCACATCAAAATCCATGGAGCAATAATTTTTCGATCTGCTGTCACGCAATTTTCATTAATCTTTTACATTCTCCGTATAGAGGTGCTTTTAGTAAAAGTTCCATAACTCCATCAAAACAAAAGATTTTTCTCTCCGGTTTGTTATATTTTGCTCAGAAATGATTGCTCTTCTTTACCTAACTGCAAAATCAAAACTTCAGTGGTGTTTCCGTTTCTTGCTTGGGTGCATTTGCTGGAAACGCGGGGCTGTCAATTTTCGTAACCTCGTGCTCCAGCACACCATCTGCTCTAAAAGATTTTTTTACAGACCACGAGAAAGAGCATATTCAAAAAGCATATACAAAAGCATATACAAAAAGAACTGCGTCCTCACTTTGGCTACACTTTTTTACGAGAATAATAACAGAAAAAAAACGTTCAAGTCGAAAAAAATACCAAACGACGGGGGTCGATAAGAGGCAAAATCGGCCTCCTCTCAGATCAAGCTCATATTCACCAGTATGATGTAGTTTTTCTCGCTGATTAAAACTAGCATCTCAAAAAAACCATTTTCAGCACCCCTGGAAAAAATTCCGCATCCAAACTTTTCTCCTCTTTAATCAACTTTATTTAGAATATTTTCCCAGTTTCTTCTCTTTGTCCAAAGAAAACCTAAACTACTGTACATCATTCGATAGAGGCTACAAAATGCTACAAAATGATATATATAATACTGAGAGCAAATGGGGCATGGGTGTCCTAACACAAGAAATACTACCCCCCCTCCACAAATCCATAGGTCAGCAGCGTTTATCGCTTATATTGTCCAACCAGTTTATCGTTAATCACACCACTTTATATATCATTCGATAGAGAATTTCACGGGCTTCACAACTGCGTATTAATAAGTCTTCGAAAAATATGCCCACATGGACGAATAGTTGGAATACATGGCCGATATAATGATTTTCAACTATCTAAGGAAAGCCGTCAAAATTCGCATCGGTGAATTTATTCACCGGTGAATAAATTCACCGGTAATTTGATTGGAGAGAAAATTGAGAACAGAATTATTCAATATGGCTGAAAAAAAGAATATGGAACTATCGTA